CAGGGGATCCAATGCCCTCTTCTGACTAACCTCTGTGGGCATTGCACAAAACAGGTGCATTTACACACATGCAGGCAATACATTCATACACATATAATAAAAATAATAAAAAAAGAAAAGGCTACTTGGCAGAATGAGTACTTGGGAGAAAGCTTGAAGGACGACGTAACAACAGTGATGTCATTCCAATGACAATAAGATAAGAATTCCCATTAACTTTGTTTAACTGCTTTACAGAGCTCACCCCAATCAATCCCCATGTTCATTTGACACATATGACAATGGGGTCTTGGAAAAGTTAGGAAAATGGAAAGCTCAAAACTTAAGTTCATGGGTCTACATAGGCTGCCACCCTCTGCCCCACAATCAGGAACAGCACACTCTAGCAGGCCCTGAGCAGAGGGAAAAACACAGGGCTTGGGATGGGCATTTGGAAGCATCTGCAGAGACAGCTGAAGCTAGACTAGGGAGGGCCTGGAGGGTAGGATGACATACCTGTCATTACTCAATGGTGGAGAAGCACACATGGGAGCTTTGACAGCACTAGACTGGAGCTGCAGGTAAACAGATCTGGCTGAGAGGATAGAATTTAATGGGCCATCACAAGGGTGAGAGACTGCTGCTGGGCAAGGTGAGAAGGTGTGCAGAAAGGTGGGAGCACCTGCCTATGTGTCAGGGATGGAAGATTATGTATGTGTGAGGAAGGAAGTGTGCAATCAAGTGTGAGCGCACTTATGTATGAGTTGAGGAGCCATTCTGTGGACGAAGAAGGACGCAAAGGGGGTTCAGCATCTTCCTGATGGAAGGTAGATAGGCACGGTGAGGGACAAGCCAAATCATTTGATCTGCCTGAGCAGGAGGGCACTGGGGAATAAGAAAGAATCACTCCACAGCTCTACAGGTTTCTAAGAGCCTGTCATATTAAAGGGACTCAGCATTTGTTAAAAGGATGAATGAATGAATGAATGAATGAATGAATGGAGTGAGTGAATTGGAGGCTGCGGCCTCTGGTCTCTCAACCTAGGCCTGGTGTTGCCCTCTAGCTGTGTGTGGTGAGAGGTCACTGTAATTCCAAATAGACTCCTCCCTAGTCTCCTCTCTGCTCAAGTTAGGAATTCTCAGCTAGACAGCCATTCTCAGTCATAATTTGGTCCCTGGGGCCCAGCCCTTTTCCTGCTCTCCCCATATGTCTTTGTGACAAAAATTTTCCTGTTATTTCCAAGCTGGCTTCATATTTCCCAGGTCAGAACCTCTCTCCACTCCATTTCAAAACAAAGATACTGGTAAATAGATACCAAGCTTTTGCCTCAGCCAGAGATACCAGACTTTTTGTCAGGGACAGAGAGCGAAGATGGCTGATCCCCATAAACTCTCCAGCCAAACCTCTCCACACCAGAGGTCTTCAGAGACTCACTAATGCTGGTCCTGGTCTCATACTCTGCAGATGTGAGACAAGGTCTCCCTGTAACTGAAGATGGCCTGGAACTCCCTATGCAGACCAAGTTGACCTGCCTCTGCCTCCCAAGGGCTGAACTGAAAGGCATGTGCCACTATGCCCAGCTGGATGTGACTCTTTAAAGATTACACCCAGCCCCATGTGTGCCCAAGCAGAACACACAGGTGACTTTTTCCCAAAGGCCCCCCCCCCCCCCGCCCAGCCCATGAGAAGTATACCAGCCTTAGATTCTCAGATACTGCCTGGATGACAATGAAAGAAGAGCTTTCTCCAGAGTGGCCAGGCCATCCCTTTCCAACTCAGTACAGCACTGTGAAATAATGAGAACACTTTGGTACCTGCAGAGAAAAGCAATCTCTTTCAACATTGTAGAATCCACATGTATTCAGAGAAAGGATGTGGCTTAGAGATCATGACTAAATCTCCCATGGGCAGACACGGAAACAGGTCTAAGATCTTGGAGGCCTTGGGTTACTTGAGCACAGACTAAGCCATTTTTAGATTGCACCAAGGGACCTGTGCTGCATCCAAAAGGGTATTTATGGAATAAATGCATTTGCCCTTGGAAGCACAGAGCTCAGGGCCAGATCAGGAGCCGGAACCAGGCTTTTTGTGATCCCCAGGCTCTGTCTCCTGGGGGTGTACACATTTCCAGGGCACTCTGGTGGGAGGTGATGAGTGATTTGTTAGAGAGTCCTAGGGGCTGCCTGGGCACTGTCTGCACCCAGATGGCAGCTGACTGTGTCCAACAGGAAGAGGGAAGGGAGTCTGTGCTCTGGTTTATGGTGAGATTTAGGTGGGTGATTTTCCCAAAGTTTGTGGGAGGGAAGGTGCCAGGGTCCAGGAAACTGCTCCTTTTCCCCTCTCCTTACCACATCCTGTAGCCTCACTCTCCAAGAAAACATAATATGGCAGGTGCCTCTATCATCCATACCTGCTAAGGGACCCTCACTTTAGAAGGAGCATCTCAATTTCCAAAGGATTGATGGCCACAAAGAAGGCAAGAGTTTTAGCCCAGATAGTGTAGGATTTGACACCCTGAGAAATCAGGCCTCAGCTAATACTGGCTGTGAGGCCTTGGAGCCTCAGTTTCCCCATCTATGTCCTGGCCTGATACTTCCTCGGGCTTCTGCAACTCTGAGGTCAGGGACTGTGGCTCCCACTTCACTATCATGTTCCCAGCAGTTAACAATAATAGGTACTTAAAACTATTTGCTAACTGACTGAACAAAATGCATTCTCCATCAGTCCAAAGATCAAATGGAACCTGAAGGGAAACTCTCCCTCAGGCCTCTGCCTCTGAGGACCATAGGAGCTTCAAGTCTTAGATGTGTCCTGGCAATCCAGCGGTCCTTGGTGAAGCAGCCTCCTCTCCCAGATGCACAGATCTGACTGGAGGAGGCAAGCAAGAAGCAGGAAAACATGACTTGGGGAGAGGGACCTGAACCCCACACAGGAGCTAAGTACCCTGACTTCTACCTCCTTGGTTCCTCTCCTGTCAGTTCTCTGACTTCCCTCTGTTCCTTGTCTCTTCTTTCTGCCCTCGTGTGCTCTTCCCTCCTCTAATCAGGAAGGACTGTTGGGAGTCAGGGAAGGGAGAAAGTAACATGGAGAGATTTAAATTCACGTTTGTGCCCAGTCTCTTGAGTCTGACACCTAGGAGAGGGATCTCTTTGTTAAAAGGGACTGGAAACCTTTCCCTTCGCCTTTTCCTGCAAGGTCTTCGGGAGATGTCAGAGGTTTCCTTCTGGGCTTCTACATCTTCTTCTACATACTCTTGGCATCCAGGATAAGACTGGGCAGGAAGGAAACTGTCCTTTCTCTGCTTAGCCTCACCCAGCCTGGAGTGTGTGTGTGCACATGCATGTGTATGAATGTGTTTTGGGAACTGATGGTATGTATTACTGTTGGGGTGTGTGTAAGCATACATACAATGTGAGGGTGGAATATAAATGAAGCATTTTAGGTGGTATGCATATGGTGTGGTGTTCATGTGGGGTGTGTGTGGTGTGGTATATATGTCATCTACTTGGTATGTGTGAGGTATACTCGATGTGTTTGTGGTGCGGTATGTATCATTTGATGTACTTGGTGTGTGTCTGGCATGGTATGTATAAGGTACACTTGGTGTGTGCGATGTAGCATATATGAGGTGTACTTGACATATTTGTGGGGTGGTGTGAATCATTTGGTGTACCTGGTGTGTGTCTGGTGTGTGCAAAGTGTACTTTGTGTGCATGTGATATAACTATGTATGATACATGCATGTGGAGTGTACTACTGGACTGTGTAGAAGGAGTATGGGGAGCAGAGCTACGATTATAGCATGTGTGTAATGTGGTTTGTGTGCTTGTGTTTATGATGCATGTGATGATGGGTGGGGTAAAGGGCCAGGCAGTTTGGAGTGGGAACCAGACATCCAGGATGTCCTCCCTTAGAAGCCAAGGGTAACCAGTATCTAGGCAACCATATTGGGGGGAGGGGAGGCAATCGGAGGTGAGGAATGGGCAGAAAAAGGAGGGAGACTGAGAACTGGAGGGGTTTCCATGGCAACTATGAGGCAGGTCACGTGCAAAAGGCCAAGTCGCAAAACAGACACACACATTCACACATCCACAGTATGAGGGCAGCAAGGGGGCCCCTCAAAGTGGGGATCCTTTCATAAAGGGCCTGGTATGCCCACTGGTCCCCTATAAAGCTGGAAATCCCAGCTCAAGCTGGGCGGGAAGCCAGGACAGACAAAGGAAAAAGACACGGCCACACTGGTGAGGTGAAGCTCAAGCAGCCACTGCCCCCGGGGTCTGGAGGCTGGAAGGGGCCTGGGTAGGCCCATGTTTCCAACTTGACTGCTTCAACACTTGTCTGAGCTGGAGCAGGCAGTGGGAGACCCAGGCTGCTCAGCCAACTCTACAGGAAAGCCTATGCTGACACAAAGCGGGAGGCTCCAGCAGCCCTGCTGGGGAACGGTGGGGAAGGGGACTAGGGGTCCTGGAAAGAAAATAAGGTTGGACAGACCAGGAGAAGGAGACGAGGAAATTCTGACGAATCTCCACGCCCTGGAACCCCAACGCCTTCTCTACCGCCCCTCTCCACTCCTCAGCCCACGCCCCCACCCCGTAATCACCAGGCCAGCAAGTTCCATTTTGCGTAGCTCCAGTGACCACACACCCACATCCAACCACACTCCCGGGTCCCCAAATCCCTCTCAGTGTCCCCAGCTTCCGAGTAACAAAGGGAAACTCCCCTGATAAAGGGTGGGAGCGGCCATCTCTCCTTCTCCTGGAGCCCCAGCCTCCAGAGCAGTTCTCAGCCAGCAGCATCGCCCCCACCGCCAGAGCCTGCGCACCCCTCCGGGCACCCTTGGCCTTCGCATACCCAACTCCTTGTTTACATCCCCAAAGCCGTTTCCCGCCGCCTGAATGGGGACCCAGGCACACACCCACTGAAACAGGCTCGGTGGCTCCAGGCGCTCAGGGAACCGGTCCCCACCCGAGCCACTTCCCCGCAGAAGGGGCCAACTTTGCCCACCTCCCCCGGAGCTCACCTGCACCGCGAGTCCCCTCCGAGTGGATCCCAGGAGGATGTGCTGAGTCCGGAATAGCCGGGAGTGGCGGGCTGGGGGCAGGGTGGTGGGCGCGGCTTGCGGCTTTCCCGCCTCCAGGCTGCTCCGGGCGGGAGGGCTGGGCTCCCGGGTCGCTGGAACAGCTGGTTTCTGGGAAGCGTCTCCGCCCGGACCCGGTGCTGTCTCGCGCGCCCTCCTCTCCGGGAGCTGCTCGAAGCAACAGGAGACGCGCACGGAGGAGGAGGCGCCGAGCACAGGAGCAGATTTGCCTGCAGCTGTTGCTTTTCGATTTTCCTCCTCTGGCGAGGGTGGGAAGGGAGCCAGACAAGCACCACGACGGGGATGGTGTCTTTTCCGAAATAGTAAACTCATGGAGGGCTGGAGGGAGGCAGGGAATAGAAGAAAGCAACCCAGCATCACCCATTGATAACCCAACCTTCATTGGGTGCGTTGGCAATTAGAATGAATGGGGTCTTGGGAGCGCAGGAGTCAGCGCTGAATGTCATTATCGTTCTCAAATGGAGCTAAGTGGTACTGGGGAACAAGACCCTCACCTGAACCATAGCTTTGCTACCCAGGAACCCCTTTTCAGGACACCACCTTCATCTCCGACCCTACCTGAAGGATGTAAGAGTGGCAGTCCTCAGCCTACTCCTCAACAGTCAAATTCTTCGAGATGACAAATGAACTTGAAGATTCACATCCTAAGTCTGCAACCCTACCTTAGCATGACCTTGAACACTCATATCTGGAACATTTCTCACCTGGGAAGGGGGAGATGGGAATAACTCCCAGCCAGTGCTGGACTCACTAGCTCTAAATACTGGAGGAGGAGCTTGCAGGAAGGGACAGAGGCCAGGCAGTGGCAGAACCCCAAGGCCAGCCACCCTATCAGGTTGGTAGCCAGAAAGTCCTGCTGTGAGGGAGGCTGCTTTGCTCAGCTGAAGTGTGTGCTGGAGTTGGCAAGGAGAGAGGCTGATCGTCTAGTCCTAGCTGTGGCCACAAGGATTTCTCATCAACTCCTAACCCCTAAACCCCAAAATAGCGGGTAGTGTTAACAAGAACCTTAACCCTGCCTCTCTAGCACCCCAGCTCCAGGCCTGTTTCTCATTTTGAAATGAAAGAGGGGAACTAGATTGTTCTAGGGTCCCTTCAACTTTGACCCTAGATGACTGAATTATTTTAATGAATGATCAGGACTCAAAATCCCAAGACAAGAAATAGACATGAATTCAAGAAGGCCTTGAAGCTGGTTAGAAAAGCCATGAATGGATCTGAGAAGGATCTGAGTTACCCCCTGTAAGGAGAGTCTGAGGAGGACAGCTTGAACCCTTGAGCACAGGACCCTGAGCTGAAAGGACTGCACCCCGGCCCAGTCCCAAAGTCCTTTGGGTTCCTTTGATGAAGGCCCTATCATCAAAGTCTGGCTCTAATCTTGCCCAGCCACGTGGCTAGGGACAGCCACTTAACCATTCTATTCCTGTCTTTTCCTCTATAAGCTGAAGGCTGACTGTAAGCCCCTGTCCTTTTCCATTCTCTCTGGGTCAGAGAGATGAAACCTCATTACTCGCTAGTATGGTGGCTTGGACAAGTAGTTGGGTCCCTCCCTCCCTATGCCCTTGAGTTCTGCCATTTGGAGACCTCTCAGTTGGTTTTTGGAGCCACTATTGGATAATAGATTTCAGGCTTGGGCTTTCAAGCCTGTCTGGGAAAGGACAGGACAATAGGCTAGAACTCCAAAGCTGAACCACCTGTTGGTACAGTCCGTTTGTTGCCAAAGAATTCCAGAGTGTTTGGCCAAGCTACTTCCCAGGCCCCTGCCTGATGCTGCTGACAGCCCTGACTACAGAGGGTTGTAAGAACCAAGTCTCTGTGAGGAATGGTTGGGGCTTGCCTCTCAAATAGCACTTCTTCCTGTTTATCCAGGTGGAATTTGGGGTGTTGCTGCTACAAAGCAGCACACAGACTTGCTCTAGGAGAGTCATACCCCCATTCTGGTGGGGGAAGGCATCTGCTTCCTGTGATAAACATGGCCAGGGGTTAGAAGAGGTCACCAGCAGCCCCACTCTCAATACTCTCCCAGATGTGAGGAGCAACTCTTCCCTGAGCCCTGGGTCAAAATCATCATACAATAGGGGAAGGAAAGGTGTTGTCCCTTATGGCTAATGGGTGAGATAGGTATTTATCAAACGCTCCCTTGGTTCAGAGCCCTGTGGATGTAACGTTTGCAAAGCAAGATGGAGAGTTAGAGTGTTAAGATGAGGTGAAAGAGACAAGAAGTGAGGTGTCAGGCAGGGTTGGGAAATGATTCCAATACAGGAACAGAAGCCACATGTGTAAAGAGCCTGAGGCATGAGGGACATGGTGTGAGTTTCTCCTAGTGTGGTTGTGAGCAGAGGAAATGCTGGGGAAGGAGGCAGGTGCCAGGCTAGGAAGCTGGGCAGTTCCTGGGGGATTTCTAGTTTTCATCTTCAGGGCAATGGAAAGCCACTGAGGACATAAGAGAACTGTTGTGAGCAAGAATTAAGGAGAGGCTCTCAGATGTTCCTGAGGAATCTGCAGTCAAGATTTGGGAGGGGGTGGAGGGGCTACAGAAAGAACACCAAGAATGGGCTTGGATCCCTGATTTAAAAATTGCTTCTCTAGAAGCCCAAGGAACAGAGATAGCTGGGGGCTAGACTGCACAGCCAGAGTGGGAGGCAGATAAGAAAAAACAGAAATGGTTTCTGAACTCGGAGGGCACACAAGTGTATGTGTACATGCACACATACACGCAACACCACTGTACACACAACACACATACACAAAGACATATACAGACACAGACATGGACAGGCCTGCTGGTCTCCCAGCATCCCCCCAAACTAGTCCCTACCCTGGAGACCTAAACAAGGAATCCAGGAATGCTGCACTGCTCATACCTAACCCATCATCCCATGTTCCTTACACCACTGTAACACATATCTAAGACAAGTCGACTTATGAAAAGAAAAAGGTTGTTCGCCTCATGGTTTGAGGAGTTTCGGTTAATGTTCAGTCAGCCTCATTGATTTGAGCCTGTGGAGAGGCAGAACATCATGTGAGAGCACATGGTAGAGGAAAGCCTCTCATTTCCAGGTACCTGAGGAGGAAGAGGGAGGAGGAAGGGAGGAAGAGAAGGAAGAGGAGGAGAAGGAGGTAAGGTAAAGGAAGAGAAGGAAGATGAGGAGGAATGAGAGAGAGAGAGAGAGAGAGAGAGAGAGAGAGAGAGAGAGAGAGAGAGAACAGAAAGCTGGGTTCTCACTAGCTCCTTCAAGGACACTCCAATACTTAAAGTCTCTCACCAGACAGAATCTCTTGAAGGTTCCACGACCTCTCAGGAGTACCATGTACTGAACACCAAGTCTTCCCCACGGGGTCTTTGTGGGACATCCCATATGCAAGCCATAGCACTATCTCTCCAAGCATCTGGTGCCTTCCTTGGTTTCATGAACAGCATGGTCCCCAACCCACTTCTTTACCCAGAAAAACTTTGCTACCCTCTCACTTCTCCCCCAGTTCCTCTCTTGCTGTGTGCTCCCTTGTCTCCATTGCTCCTATGGTAGATCAGGCCGCCACCATACGAGCCTCTTATTGCTGGATTGCCACTTCCACCTCCGTCTACTCTTGTTTGGTAGTTGTAATGGTTATTTTTTCATTGCTGTGACAAAATGCCTGACAAAAGCAACTTAAAGAGAGAAAGTTTATTTTGGCTCACAGTCTGAGGGTGCAGTCTCTCCGAGCAGGGAAGGCATGGTGGCAGAAGCATGAGGCAGCTGAGGATATTATATCTACAGTCGGGAAGTAGAGAGAGATGCATGCTGATGCTCAGCTCTCTTTGTCTTTATTTCATCCAGGACTCTAGCCCATGGGCTGGTTCTACCTACATTCAGGGTGAGTCTTTGCTGATCTGTTAACCTTTCTGGAAACATGTCATAGACACACCCAGAGGTATGTTTCCATGGTGATTCTAAATCTAGCCAGGTTGACAATGAAGCTGAACCATCACAGTGGAGCTATTTCCTACAAGAAGATGGCTCAAGCCTTCTGTGCTTTCCTATGTCCTGTAAATTTCAGATTCACATTTCTAGCATAGCATTCAGTGCTAATAGACAAACATGCGCTTACTGCTCTTGCTTCATCTCCTGACCCCCTCTATCACACTTGTCCTCTCCATGAAGGTGAGGACTGAGCTTCAACCCAAGGGCTTCACACAGTTTCCATATTTGCTGTCTGCTTTCCTGCCCTCCAACTTTGGCTCATACAGTTTTCTCTGCTTAAAAGATACTCTTTTTTAAAATGTAATTTGTTTTACTGAAATAACATAATTGAAGAACCATCAGACAACTGTATCTTGTCAGGGGCAATAAAAACAGAGTCAAAACCCAAAATCATTAAGGAAACCTGCATCCATGGCTTTCTTACAGACAGTGATGTGACAAGATACAGGGCTGGGCTGTGGCCCTCCCCACAGGGGCAACTCCTGGAAGACAAATTCAACACAATGGGGAACTGCCCCCAGAAGGGTGGAGCACGTTGCTTGGAAAACATCCTGCATGGGATGCCTCAAATGCTGTAAGAGGAGGATGTGTCCACATAGTCCAGTTCCATAGTACCAAAGTAGGCTCTTCCAGGTGATCAAGGTCTCGCAATCCTGGGCTGTTTGGTGCTTTACATGCAAAACTGGCGCTGCACCACTGAGGGGACTGGAGAGATGGCTCAGCGGTTGAGAGCACTGGCTGTTTTTGCAGAGGACCAGGGTTTGAGTCTCAGCACCCATATGGTGACTAACAACTATCTGTAACTCTAGTTCCAGGGGAATCCAACAGTCCTTCTGACCTTGCGGGCACAACACAGGTGCACTTACACACATACAGGCAATACACTCATACATGTAAAATTAAAATAATAAATACAATTTAAAAAAGAAAGATCCTCTTACAAGAATCTTAACTACTCTGCAAAGATAAATTCAAATATGTCCTTATTGAAATAAAAGTTACAGTCCCCTAACAGCACCGTGCCTCTACTATAATTGTACATCCATGCCATGCTCTGAACTTCATGGGTCAATGGCATATGTTTACTGTCCTAACGGAACTGGGGACTCCTTGGTCAGACCTGTCATCTTAGTTAATCTATA